ATGCAAGGCAAGCATTCTACCAGTTGAGCTATACCCCCAGCCCATTATATAGTCATGTAAAAGGAAAAAAAAATGATGAGAATCTAATAGTACAAATGAAAGGGAGTGTTTAAATAAATCATGCACAATTATAAAATAAATATTCTATTACAAAATGATATTTTCAATATATCTATAATGTCATGGCAAAACACTTGTATAAAATTTATTAATTTATTTTTATTTTTTTTATTAGCAAGCATTAAATATAAATATTAATGGGATTCAGTATGATATTTTCATACATGTTTACAGCATGCATTGATCAAATTCAGCCACCCTTTACCCACCTTCCCACCCCAAGCTCTGTTAATTACTATTCTAATTTTTAAACTTCCAGACATGAGAAAAAAAAAAAGAATTTTTTTCTTTCTGTATGGGGCTTATTTCACTTAACATAGTGCCCTTCAGTTCCATTTATTTTGCTATGGATAGCAAGATTTTAATTTTCTTTATGGCCAAATAATATTTGATTGTATATATATATATACCAGTTTCTTTACCGATTCAATCACCGATAAGCACCCAGTTTAATTCTGTTTCTTGCTTGTTGGGAATAGTGCCACAATAAAGAGGGGCATATAGGTATATCTTGGTATGCTGATTTCATCCCCTTTGGATATATACCTGGAAGTGGTGTATCACTTATGTGACATCAGTCTTTTGGTAGGTCTATCTTTATATATGCTATTGGTGGTAATGTAAATTAGCACAGCCATAATGATCATTTTAAAACAGGGTTTCTGATGTTTCTAATTATTCTTATGAAAATTTCAGTAATAAAATAGCACCGCTTCAATCTAAAATCTAGATATCCATAAAATTAATGCTTTGAAAATATGTTACTACTAACAGTGTTTCAGATTATGTATTGTTCTTTGACCTTCTCTTTTTATCAAATTTTCTACAATAAGTATATATTGATTTTGAAATTAGAAAAAACAGTCAGAAGATATATTAAAATAACTGGAAGAATCCGATGTGTCCAAGTTTAGGATGTACAAAATTGTAGTCAGTTTAGTACCTTTGTGGTGAACTTAGGTCTGAAAAAACTACCAGGGACAAGCAGTCACAAGTGAGAAAATCTGATGTATATTTAATACCATGCACAGTTCTTCTTCCCTACAATAGCTATCATTCTGATTTCGGTCAAAGTTACTATAAACTCTTCTTCTAAAAGAAGCCATACATCCTGGTACAATATTAGAAAGGCAATAAAAATTCAATGTTGTGGTTATGAATCTTGAATTCTACAAACTGAGTTCCAAACTGAGTTCTCTCTTACCTGCTGGAGGCAATTCTGGAGGAACCTCTAAGGCAGGTCATGGATCTGTAAGAATAGAATTAATAATACTAGTTTTGAGTAACATTTTTATAGAGAAAAGTTTAGCAAATGTTTCATTATGACCTAGGTCTGCCAATTTGAACTACTCTGACTCTACCAAATAATGCTGTATGGAAGATAGTAGAAAAGCTAAATATTACAGGATACATTTAAAAAATTAAAGATTCAATTATTTCTAACCTAATGACTCACTGCACATTGTATTTTTATAATGAAGTATAACTTGAAATTATTTATGAATAAGCACACACTTAGCTTTTCCCCATAGGGCATAGATTTATGATGGCAAAGAAAAGGAAAATAAATTTAAGCCCTAAAATATGAACTTTCATGTTATATCAGATGCAAATTATAAAGTAAGAACTTTATTGAAAGATCACTCAATAAAAAGCACTGTGCCTGACAACATAATATCTGGATTTAAACACACACACACACACACACACACACACACACAAACATATTTCTAACTTCAATAATGTGAGAGAGATTCAGTTTACCATTTACCAATAGATCATTTTACAAGTGAGGACTCTGAATTTTAGATAAAGTAAATAAGTAACGAATGACCCAAATAGAATTTGACTGTAAGTAGTCTAAGAGTCTGTACTTGTAACTTTATAGTTTTTTTTAATATTTTTTTCCACCTCTCCCCAAAATTTAAAAATAGAGTGTTCCTGCTTTTATTCAGATATAATTTTTGGTTTCATTACATAAAGTATTTGTAAAAAAAAAACTAATAATCTGCCTTATTTTTTATTGCTTGTTTTTATTATAATCCTAGCTGAAACAGACATGATAACAAATAATAATTCGAACAAAGTTTTCAAAGGAGATTGCATCAATTCATTCAGGCTGCTATAACAAAAGTGTCACAGACTGGCTTATAAACAATAGACATCTATTTCTTACAATCCTAGAGAATAAGAAGTCCAAGATCAAGTCTGTCAGACTTGGTGCCTGACAAGGGCAGATTCCTTGGTTTATAGTCCCTGGAAACTTCTTGCTAAGGCATCACATGGTGGAAGGGGCAAGGAAGCTCTCTGGAGCCTCCTTCATCAGGGCACTAGTCCTATTATTTCAAAAGTGTGAAGAGAACATAACAGAACCTCAGCACAAGTACAATATGAGCTCACCACACCAGAGCTTCCATTACTACCTGAGACCTGGAAGGTGCTGGATCACAGATGGGCAAAGTGTTGTGAACAGGAACAAATTGAGAAGGGCTGTGATTTGCAATCCAGAACATAATCACATTTCAGCAAACTGTCCAAAATGCATCCAGGGATTAATAAGCCACCTGACTGCAGGTCAAGTTCATCATTTCCTGAACACAAACTGAATCTAGGTTCAAAGAGTGCACTGATGAAATCCTATATAAATCAAGAGAGCAGATTCCGAAAGACAAATGGAGGATGCTAGGGACAATCCTGCAACAAAAGTGAAAAACATTCTTACACAGAACTTCCTAATTTCTGAAGTATGCTATAAAATATATTACAAATGCTAAACACATTAAAAAACAATCTACTTATTTTCAATAAACAGGTTGAAATAAGCATTATGATTTTTGTTATTGAAAGTTAGTTTTAGTTATTTTATTCCAAGTGAAAATTTTATGTTAGAGTTAGCCTTATTATAGAAAACATTATTAAGAAGATGACCTGGACAATCTTTAAATAATATTAAAACTTAATTTGCTTGATCTTAAATAATAATGACAGTAAAATTTTGAGCATCAAGATTTTTACTGTGCCAAACTGTGTGATATGAAAGGGCTATCAGAACATATTTTAATTATTCAAATTTTGAGTGCTGTAGCATAGAGGTCAAAACTAATGGCTAAGGAAGGCATATGTCTAGGAATAATGTTAGAACATTGCACCCACAAGAAAATCATATCTAGTGATTCCCAGATACAGGACACACCTAAGCAGGCCCTTTCCATTCCTCATCTCAGTTTCTCACCTTAGAGGTATTTCTCTATTTTTCTTTTTCTGTTTTCTTCTTTTTCCCCTCGTCCTTCTCCTTCCTCTCCTCCTCCTCCTTCCCTTCACCCTTCTCCTCCTCATCTAGGCAATTAGCATTTACTAATTTACTTCATCTTCCAAGCATGACTTTGGGTATTATCTTTATTTCATTTTAACAAATATGGGAATCAAACACAAAGGGGGGCAGAATTTGCTCACGATTATAAAAATAGAAGGTAAAGCGACTTATATAATTCATAACCCAGCAGCTCAGCAACACACTCCATGCTTTTACCACTGCATTATGCTATCAAGTTCATTGCTCTCCAGATAGGACCATTTGAGCTCCAATGAGGAAATGTGACTCGATGTCTCCTTTATTGAATACAACTGGAGCCTTATTATTGGAAGGAAAATTTGAAGATGGCCTCTGTACCCACAGAGATGAGTTTGGCACACACTTGCATCCTTCCTTAGACTAACCACATCTGGAGGTGTTCAGCATAAGCTGCCTCTTGTAGGTCAGGTTGGACTCACCCCCTTGTTACCATTCATTACAGTAAGTACCAGAGCTGACCATGTGGGTTTGGGACCCTGGATCAACTGGTTCACATACTTACTACCTAAATTGCACAAGTTAGGAAGGACCTGTACTTAAGGATAGAGCCAGTTTCTCTAGAGCCAGACACTTGGGCATTGTTGGGAACTCATTAAGGAAAAGAATGTAAAAATAAATATAGAAATGTAGACAAAAAGTTGAATACTTAAGTTAAAAAATAATCATGCTTAATGATTGCTTCATTATATTATATTATACAAATGTTCACAAAAATTTAGAAAATATATTTATATTGTTAGAATTTGACATTTTAATAATATTTTCTCAAAAAACTTTAACTATATATTCTTTATTTGACATGGTTTCTGTATTATTATCTATAGAGAGAATATAACAATAATTTTCTTTCTAATGCAAATGATTTTTAATTGTTATTGGTACATTATAATTACATATAATTATGCCATAGTATATGTGCACATATTTGGGTTTCATTATGCCATAGTCATATGTGTACATATTTGATCAATTTTATTCCTTAGTACCTTTCCTTTCTCCTCTCCTTCATGCTCCCCTGATGTACTTGCTCTACTGGACTAACCTACCCTTGATTGTTGTTATTATCATTTTAATTAGTGCATTATAAGTATAGATAAAGCTATGTATATGTATATATGTGTGTGTATAAAAGCTGGATTCATTGTGTATATTCATCCATCTTTATAACATAATTTGCTGGATTTTATTCCCCAGTGCTTTTCCATGCTCTCTCCCCATCCCTCCTTCTCAATCCCCTTCCTCTACTCTTTTGATCTCCCTTCTGTTTTCATAAGATTCCCTTTTCATTCCTGTTTTATTTTTAAAGCCTCCTGATAAATCCACTTCTGCCTAAATGTCTGTGTCTTGCCTTTGGAAGGAAGAAAGGCGGGTGAGAAGATGAGGTTAGGATGTCCCTTCTGATTCACACTTTCACCTTCCACACGGCTACAGCACAAGGGAATCAGGACTGTAAGCTGCGTCTCATGGAAAATTCGTAATCTTCCACTTTTGCCTGTGTTTACTATTTTTTGTTTGTTATCTGGTTTAGTTAACAAAAGTGAAGGGCTTGATTTCTAAATTTCAAGGAACTGCAAGGAAGGCAGCAGCTTCAGTTACACATTGTATTTTTCAGGAAGACTTAAGATACAATGGGAATAGAAACCTAAGAAATAATGTCACCTGGATGGTTTTAATGATGAAACTAAGAAACAACATCAGTTCCTGGAGCCTGAGGTAAAGCAATGAGAAACTCATGCTTAGGATGACCTGAGATGTATCTGGACATAGGCTCCAATGGGCTCAGAAATGCAGCTACCCAGACTGAATTTCTGGTCATGAAAATGAAAGAGGAGAGCTGTTGGTCTTAAGTGGCTGTACCAGACTTTGCTCCCAACTTCCTATAAAGATTTATGTCTCATTTCCTTGTACCTCGCAACATCTTGGGGACAGAGTATACTTCTTGACACTACTCATGTCAGATTCATCCATGTGATTCGTATTGGCCAATGTAAGCAGAAGGACAGAGTGTCAGTTGCCAGTAAAGCTGGAGAAGCCATCAAACCATCCTTCCCTGCTCTCTCCATCTTTCAAGAGGTGAGCAAGTCCCACATGGGGACTGCCCCTTTGTCCTGGGTGCTAAAATAAAACAGGCTTTCAGCACAGCTGCTGGACAAGCTGCAGTCCACCCTCATCTTGCTTTCAATATGGTCAAGAGAGAAGATTTCAACACACTGAATGCTGGGGTTGATTTTAATCATTAAAGATAGTAGGAGTGTGAATGTAGCTCAATGGGAGAGCATTTTCCTAGCACATGTATGGGCCTAGAATCTTCTTTTCCCAGCACTGAGTGTACCTTTGTAAATAAATTTTCAGGCAATGAAAATATATGGAGGCTATGTATGTGGAAGGAAAAGGAGGTCTCTGGTAGACAGGGACTCCCTTAGAATGCACTTTATATTTTTTGTAAGAGATATGAATTATCTAGCTGCCGGGAAAGTGAGAACAGAATCTCTGTAGAGAGATGAGGACAGAAAATGAAGAGAGGACCAAAATAGGGTGGGAACTGAGGAACATCAAGCATAGTTGTACTTAGGTATAGGTAGCATTTAACATTCCTTGGAAAGGGATTTGGATTTGAATAAAAATCACTGAAGAGTCTATTAAGGGTTTCAAGTAGAAGCAATAAAGTTATGTTTATAATTTAAGATGGTTGACATTATCGATCAAAATATTTTTCCATGGCCTAAAGAAAAGTGTGAGAATCTATTGCCTGCCAGCTGCCCATCAGTGTTGGAGGGTGATGTTGGGAACTGTGAAGGATCAAGATTTTACTCCATGTAGATCTCGTAAGATAGCCTGTGGCCATATTCATGGATGTAGGTGGAAAGCATGAGAACTGGGTCCGAAAGAATGGACTTA